TGCACCACTGCCCCCTGTTGGACTAAGCGAGCAGACTTCTTAAAGTGGCTGTGTGCTTCACCATCTCCGGCTGCGTTTGCTCAAAAGTCGTGGCACCTTGGAGTGGGAAATTAATTGGCAGCTCCCATCCCCTGATGGCATCAAATGTAGCTGGAACTCTGGTGGCAGGCCATTTGTTTTGCTTTTGTGCATGCAACAAACATTTACGAAACATCTACTAAGCGCTGCCTGCGGATCGTGAACACTCTAAGAATAACATACATGGCTACTACATATTATGTTGGTTACGGTCTACATACGAAGGAGCTGTGGCTGTTGCAGTTTTGTGGATGAGCCAACATGACCCTCCCCCCCCCCCAAGTGGCAAATGTCATATCGAATATTCCAGTAGCATGTGCCTGTAGTCTCGGCACTCAGGGGGACTGGGCAGGAGAATCAGGAATTCCAGGTCACCTTCATCTACCTAGCCAGTCTGAGACCAGGCTGGATACGTGGGACCCTGTCTCAAAAACACAAGAGGCAATGAATGCCAGTGTTCACGAATAAATTATGACCCTAACACCTGTAACTGTACCTGTTCATTTGTCTTCTGTGGATGACCTGGAGGCTACAACAGTACAGAACAGAGACCATAGCTCCCCAAAGCCAAAGGTACTTACTACAGGCCCTTTCCAGAAAAAAACTGCCTGACCCCTAATCTACACTCCTCGGTAGAATGTTGCCTCTACCAGTAGTTTTTTGAAGCATTTTCAGAGTTGAGCACAATGGTGACTAATATTTACCTGGCCCCCAGCGTGGGGAAGCTAAGGATGGCATACAGGTGTGCTCTTTTTAAGATTTAATGCCTACAAACTCAGACTTTAAAATGGATCAATTAAAAGGTAGTTATTTGCATAACAAAGTTTCCTTTTCTTTTCGTAAGGGCTTCACCACAGGGTTTCTTTGTAGACTGAGTCTCTATAATACATGCTAATACAATCCATTTACAAATACTCTATTCAGAATAGCTTTCCAAGAACCGTTCTATTGTGTACGGTGGGGCTTAGCTGTAATCTCCCCCTCCCCCAGCAGCATAAGGCTTCCTGCTCCTGAAGAGTAATTGAGCTGACATTTGATTGTCTCCAAGAGAAGCTTCACCTGCTTGCAGAGTCACTATGGCCCCGACCCTTAGAAGGCTGAGGCAGGAGCATGGCTTTAGCCCAGGTGTTACAGGCCAGCCTGATCAGCAAGACTTCAGGGGACCCCATCTCAACATAATAACAACAACTGGATAAAGGCTGTGGCCCCCAAGTGTCTATATTATGTAGCCCTTGGAGCACAATTTTACAGTTTCTTCCAGTTCTTCTCTGTACCCAAACCCAAATGGTAGGCTCTTCATTGTTCTCTTCATTTCAAATAAACTAATAAAAATTACATTTGTGGCTAATGTTCTGATAATGTGTGGTCAGCAGTATTTATAAAATCTCTCTCTCTCTCTCTCTCTCATTGCAAGACATTATGCTGTCTGAATTACAACACAAACTGGGGCATGCATTCAAATTAGAGCTGTCCCCAGCAAAATAGGAAGTGGTATGGCTGATTCAATTTAGGACCTGGCTTCCTCTTTTGTTGGGTCCTGAGCCTGAGTCTCACTTAGCTTTGTGCTGTTATGCAATTGCTCCTTTTAAGAGAGACATAAAATGGAAGCCTTGGCTATTCATAGCCAACTAAGGAGGAGCTGAAATTGTTCAAGAAGTTTCTTGCCTGGTACCATTTTGACAATAACTAGTTTTCTGAACAAATCTATTTTATCAGGCTTACTAAATGGAGTTATGTTAAATAACTGCTTGGTGCCTTTTGTTTTCATCTCGTGGTCATAGTCTTTTAAAAGTAAACAAACATGTAATGACTATTTTCCAGGGTGATTTTTTCCCCCTAGTAAAAGCAGCTTACAAGGAAATTCAAGGGCAGAGAAGATCAGCTCAGGCATTCCTGTGTGGCCTCACCCTGTGGAGAGGCTGATCTGTGTCTCGGGGCTGCTAATGGATAACGCGTGAGAGAAGAGGGCCAGTGGGAAGCAGACTGACTCGAGAGCCCCACAAACGGCATCATCTGTGGGGTTTGGCTTGCGGGGGGGGGGGGGGCGCCGGAGGTGGCTGGCTGCCCCTGGAGGCTGCAGCTTCTGGGTGGCAGGTGGCATTTCAGCCATTTCTAAAGCCAGTCCCTGGGAACACGCACTGAGTCCGTTTGTAAGGACGAGGAACTCTAGAAAGGGGGCTCCTCCTCCATCTCTCCCAGAGGTCAGGAGCACTGAAATTATGAATAACGGCATGAAGGCATTCTTGAATTCGGGTTATGTTCTCCTCACCTCCTTCCCTTCTTCCCTTCACTGCTACCCACTTTTAAAATCTAGTCAGGTCTAAATAAATATATAGATGTAAATTTGTTTCCCAGATGTAAAATGTAGCGATGACAGGTGCAGACTGTTACACACAAAAATTAATAAATAAATAAAAAGCAATCAATATTTACTGAATAAACTATATCGATAGCCCACTTTTCTCCTTCCCTCGTGGTCCCCATTAAACTTTTCCGAATCAACACTAATGAATATAGTCTGTGTCTTTCAACAGTCAAACTGAAGAGGACACACTGTTCTCTTCTTCAAGAGGGATGAAGAGAGAGCGCAGAGCCCTCTGACCCCAGCCAAAGTGCCCCCTCCCCACCTTGAATAGCCTCCCCCTCAAAAAAGAAAAAGCCAGCAGCCGAGCAGATTTTATTTCACAGATGGAAACAGAAGTGGATCTCACAGAGAGCGGGCTTGTTTAACTGGGTTTTCGGAGCTGGGGAGCCGTGAGATGTGCCTGTACCTCTGGCCCTGCCACACTGCCAGCCTTCCCAGGGGAAGACAGCAAAGTGACACTATTCAGCAGCAATTTTACTTCTGTCTGGGCCTTCTCACCCAAGTGACTTACAGCACTCAGGCTTGATCTTCCCAAGCTCAAGGTCACACCCGGAGCGTGCTTTTTTTTCATCTCTAATTTACAAGACTTTCTAGTACATTTAGTATTTGCCTCCCCCTTGTTTTCACTTTGCTTAATAAGGTAAATTTGTGTGGAAGTGGGATCATGGTTTTCAGGACCATTCACCTGACTCCTGATCCCTTGAGGTGACCAAGTGTCCACTGTGGATACCGTGCTGGTGACCCACAGAAGTCATGTCCCCCCGCAAACAACAGGCAAGGCTTTAATTAAGGAAAGGTTTGAGTGGTAAGGTAATGGGGGTGAATTAGTTCAGCAAAAGCATTTAGCTTTAAGGAAGAAGGGCAGAGTATTCCTCCCTGCTCACGGGGTTGACTTAGGCCAGCAACATGTTAATTTGCCTCAGACAGATGTATCTTGAAGAAAGTGCATGAAAAGGAATACATTTGTGCTGCTGCTGTGTGGAAATAAGTCGTGACTGTTGGGAGAGCACGGAACATCAAAGATGGTGTTTTATTTGGCTCCTGAGTGATGCTCCACTCTGTCTGCCTTTGGAGATTGGTAATAGTCACCTCACAGATTGCCTTCAAGGAAACAAAGCAGATGTGGGAAGTTAGCATCCTGAGCCTCTCACTATCACCCTGCTGCAGTTGGTTCTAATCCGCCCAGAGCTCTCTTCTGTACCCTGCCACCTACTGCTACCTTCCTGATGTCCCCAGATCTCGCTGAGAGGGATAGAAGCCTCCGAGAGAACTATCTGCGGGCCCCAGTGTCCTGATCGCTAAGAGCCCGCTAGGTCTGGGAGTTAACTTATTAACTCACCCAAAGGGCTTGAGAATTAGTGCAGTTTTGTGAAGTATAAATGCCAAACCTCAGCCTTCCAGACGCTGCCCTGACAGTAAGCTGTCTTAGCAGAGGATCAGAGAATGTGACAGTCCTGCTGAGTAAGTGCCACAGTCAGTGAGAATAGTTTAGAGGGAGATGAGTGACGCCATCTTTTCTTCTGCTTCAGGCTGCCTCGGCTGCGGAGAGATTTGTTCCATAAAATTAGGACTGTCCTTATTATCTTGATACAGGATGCCATGTAGCTCAGGCTGGCCTCCAACTCACTACATAGCCAAGGATGACCTTGAACTTCTCATCCTCCAGCCTCTACCTACAAGGGTGTGCAGCCATGGCCAGGTTATGTGGTGCTGGGGCTCAAATTCCTCATGCATGCTAGACAACACCCTATCAATAGAACCACCTCTTCCGCCAACAAAATTATTTTAAAACAAAATAATTTGATTTTTTTCCTATTTAATGTACTATATAGGTAGACATAGTGATCAGTACCTGGGTGGTACTGTGAGGTGGGTTAATTCAATTCAGAAGTATCGAAATTGAAATTTCTGAAATGCACTTGGGCTGCATCATGATGTTCAAACAAGCTATCAGACCAACTGAGTTTCCCAGCTCAAAAACCAAAAATGCTTCCTACTGTCAAACTGGGCAGAAGGACACCGAGTTCCCCACTGGCCAATACTGTCTAATTCTCTTAAATGATTCAGATGTAAAAGGGAAAATGGCATCTGTCTAATTAACACTGCCTGGTTAAATATAGCTGCCGAGGGACAGCCGAGGGACAGTGCTTGCTGAGCAGTCTTTCTAGGCCCCTGGGCCTCAAGTTCCAGTTGATAGCAAGCCTCCGTCCTTATCAGTGAGAAACAGAGATGCCCCCAGAAGCAGTAACAGGCCACGGGGGCCAAGGGAGCTGGAGGGAGAGGGGCCGGGCTGCCACTGGCTGTGTTTCCTACTCCTGGTGTCTAGTGGTTCAGAGAATGATTTGGGGAGCCAGATCTGGAAGGCTGCAGCAGTGCTTGTCGCAAACATGAGCCCTGGCCCTGCACGGCCCTCGCGGCTGCCCGAGCCTAGCTCTCCAGCCTGCAGACATCCACTGGGCGACCCTCCTGCCCACTGCTGAGCCTGCCAGGCAGCGCCATCTGCTCTGCAGCCTGTCCCTGGTGGGAAGGCACAATGACCACGTTGTTTCTCTTCCAGCTCCCCATCAAGACATGGAAGCCGTCGCCAAGTTTGATTTCATGGCCTCGGGTGAGGATGAACTGAGTTTTCACACTGGAGATATTCTGAAGGTAGGTGAGCTGGGGTCCCTGAACCGGCCACCGAGGCCACCTAACAACCTATGCCTTTGTCTCTGGAAAAACTGTGCACGGTTATTTTTATATTATTTTATTTTTACTCCTAATGTTTTCTTTAAGAAAGAGTTTCAAAGCCAGATGTGGGAGCATACCTGTAATCCTAGCACTCAGGAGGGAAGAGGCAGGAGGATCAGGAGTTCCGGGCCAGCTTTGGCTACACGGTGTGAGTTTGAGGTCAGTCTAGGTTAAGTGAGCCTCTATCTCAAAACACAACAGAGAGAGGGGAGGGAGGGAGGGAGAGAGAGAGAGAGAGAGAGAGAGAGAGAGAGAGACTGAGTTTATTTCTCAGGTAGTCTGCTGACCACCCACATGGAGACAAATGCTGCAGCTTTTTAGCTTTATCCCATTAGTACTGCCTGGAAGAAAGACAGGCGGAGGAACAGGCCGTCGCTGTAGGGGGGACACGAGCGTCAGGTCCCTCGTCACAATAGCACCACGGTTGGGTAAACAAGGGTCACTGCGTATACGTGCGTGCATGTCTGTGTGCCCGTGTTTTTGTGTGTCTATTTGTATGTGTGTGCACATGAGTACACATGCTCAGGTGTCTTCCTCCTCTGCTCTCCACCTTGACTGTTTGAAGCAGGGTCTCTCACTGAACCTGGGGCTCACTGATTTGGCTTAAGCAGGCTGACCAGTGACCTCCAGGGATCCACCTGCCTCCACCTCCCCTGCGCTGGGATTACAGACACATGCCTCTGCCCCCAGATATTTATGTGCATACTAGAGACCTAAACTCAAGACCCTATGCTTGCACGGTGGGCTATTTACTGCCTGAACCCTCTCCCAGCCCCAGAGGAGCCATCTTTAAGAAGCCTTGCTTTGAGCACAGCCCAGTACCATTCTATATAAAGATAAGTTCGCATCCCTTCCAAAGCATCTGGGCACCTATGTGCCAGACACCAGGATGGGTGACAGAAACTTAGACTTGGCATAAGTCACCCTCCTTCTCCTGCCATGCCTGTGGCATGGAGTGGATAGCGCGTGCTTCTGACGGACCTTCATCGAGGCTCTCAGCTCTGGAGCACGGGAGGGAACATGGGATTCCACCTTTCAGGGAGGGCAGTGTGAAAGCAAGGCAGTGTGAACGCCAGGAAACAGCAGATCCATAGAAGTGTCAGGCTGGGCTTCAAATGAAAAGGGTGCAGGTGGAGGGAGCCAGGGAAAGGCAGCAGACCCGCTCCACAGAGGCCATGCACACCCAGCCACGAAGGGGCTTGTTCAGCCTTGTTTTTCAGCCCCCACTTGAGTTGTAGTGACCACTTGCAGAGCTGAAGTGGCCCTGGGCTTCTTCCATGTTCCAGGTGTCCATCTACATGCTCCAAAAGTTAGCCCTTGTGGTTTGCGAAAGAATACAAACCTGCCCACAGGATATTGGGGAGAATGTGGTGACAGCGTACCTACCCCTCTGTGTGACCTCAGGGCACCCTCCAAGAGCTGGCCTCAGCTCGGGTCCTCAGCTGTCCAGGTGGTCCTCAGCTGTCCAGGTGGTCCTCTCTGTCTGCTGTCACCAAGGACACTGTTGTATCCTGCCACAGAGAACTATGGCTCCACAAAGGCCCTCCTCATTGGGGTGGTCAGAGGGCAACTTGGGAAGTGCCCACAGAGCACTTCGTGTAGAGTAGAAGGCTTCATTTACTACCCCACCCCCACCCCAAACTCGTTAACTGCTTTTAGCCTGAAAGACCTAATGCTGCGGTTGACCCCAGAGTGTCCCAAGTTTGAAGTTTTATCAGCTCAAATGTATCCGGGCTACTGATGGAGGAAAATGTGGCTTTTGCATCTTTGGATCCTTACTGGGGCCACAGAGACACACTTTGTCATGTGATGCTATGTCTCTCCCTTCCTCCTCTATTGGACATTGTGACCATTCAGATGCCAAGCATATTGGAACACCCACTGCTCCGACTAGCTCCAGCCCTTACATTCATCACACACAGACCCTGAGGGCCTGCTTAAGCTCCTGTTACCTTCCACTATCCAGCAGAATAAAAAGAAGCACAAGCAAATGAGCGTTCCCTCAGCTCTGCTTCCCAGCCTGGCCCCTTATCTATTTCCTCTCCTCTGTTGCTCAGACAGAAACAGTCCTCTGCACTGGGTGCCCTCTGCTTCCCCTCTTGACTCCAGAGCCCTCTGAAGTCCGCCCTTTACTTTGTGTCCTGGTTTGCTTTCTGTTGCTGGAATATACACGTTGGCCAAAAGCAACCTGGGGAAGAAAAGGTTTTGTTTGACTTACACTTCCACATCAAAGCGCATCACTGAGGCAAGTCAGGGCAGGAACTCAGGAACCCAAACAGAGACCATGGAGGGGCGCTGCTTTCTGACTCATGGCTTACCTCCTACCTTTGCTCTGCCCAGGGATGACACAGCCCACAGTGTGCTGGGCCCTCTCACATCACTCATTAATCAAGAAAAAGCCCTACTGACTTGCCTATGAGCCAATCTGATTTCAATTTACATTCCCTCTTCCTAAATGACTCTAGCTTGTGTCAAGTTAACAAACAAAATAAAACAAAACAAAAAAACACCTCCTTTGTATGACTAGAATGTCCCACCAAGACACCTATGGAATGAGACTCTATCAGCTACTCCTCTCTTGGGGCTCTTTCCCCTTGCTCAGTGGCACTCCTGTCTTGTTTGTTCTCTCTCTTCCTCCTCTTTGTCCTACTCTTCCTCTCTCTCTCCTCTTCTGAGCTCTCCTGAAAGTCTTGTTTGTGAGCGCAGTGTGTGCTTTGCTCTCTCACTAACCTCTGCCTAGAAGCCCGGAACCGTTGTCTGCTGGATGTTACCTCATAGCCTCCAGCCCCTGCCACCAGGCCCACGCAACCGCTTTATACCCACCTAACCTAACTTCCTTCCAAGCTATTCCTTTGTCTGTGGTCGAAGTACCATCGAATTTCAGTCACTGCACAGCTCTCACCTGCCACCAGCTGAGGCTCTCTTGCAAGCCAGGGCTGGCACATGTGTCACTGAAGCATCTCAGAGGACCTAGGAGGTTGGGGGTACGTTCTCCACTCCATAAAAGTGAAACGGAGGCTGAGGACTTAAACAGCATGTCAGGATCACACAGGCAGACAGTGACTGAGCCAGAGCCTGGGTGGAGCTCTGTCCATTCCCTATACACTATCTCTGTTGTAAATACATTTCTTTCACTAAGTCCCTCAAGGAAAGTCCTTCCCTATTAAAAAAAAAAAAAAAAAAGTGTGATGGCAGGGGGAGGGGAAACACGAGGGAAGGAACACAGGCTTTATAACCATATGAATATGGATTCAGTTCCCAGCCTGTGAGCTGTGCGGCTTGGGCCTAGGTAACTGTGGATCTGAGCATCACCCTTTGCCTCTATCTATGGAGGGATTTCCTACCCTGCAGAGCCGAGGAAAGGAGTTAAAGGTAATGGCGCTGGCCCAAAGCAGATCCTGGGCAAGCGGTGGCCATATTATCATCAGTACCTGCCTTCCTGCTTGCCCTGCCTGCTCAGATGACCGGATCACACAGCCCCTCGACTGAAGCCATTGCCTCCTGTCTCTTCCTCCTTCAACCACATTACATACTGGTCCCAGAAGGACTCTTCTAGAGGACAAATCAGACCATATCATTTCCTTGCTCAAAAGCACTCAGTGGTTCCCATTATCCGTTCATTGAAATCTAGCCCATCTGACTCCGACACACTGTCCAGTCTTATCACCCTCACACGCCAGGCACGTGTGTGCACACATACGCACAGCACGCAACCCTGAGGACACACTGCCCCTGCCCCCCTTGTGGCATACATCATCCTGTCTCAGGCTCACACCCCACCCCTACTCTCCAAGTGTCCTTTTGTATTTGACCATCTCTCCAGAGCACCCCCACCCCCACTGATCCTCTCCCTTCCTTACCACCCAGTCCCAAGAAAAACCAACCCTCTTCTTTATCTGTTTCCCAGCAGCTCACACACTTGGAGTTTTGTCTCAGGCCGACTGTCCTTCCAGGGCCATCTCTCACTACCACAGTTACTTACTACACATTGTTTCTGTGTTGGCTCTTCCACCGGCCAGAGTTTTGTAGAGACAAGGGCCACACATACTTCAACATCTCCAGGAGCAGAAAGCTACTTCTCACCAATGTTAGATGAGTGAGTGAATGAATGAATGAATGAATGAATGATTGGTGGGTTCTTCCATTGATTAAACTTCCCGAGAACAGAGACTCCCGCCCAGCATCATGCCTCCCAACATCTACCTCAAGTCACATCCCCAAACAGGGACCCAGCACATATGTACTGACCTGGGAAATCGCAGCTACGTGGCCACTTAGAATTCCAGCAGCCAGCCAACTCTGCCCACCTTTTCCAGTTATGCCCGTTGCAGCTAGAGTGGTCAAGAATGAAGCATAGAGAGCCTAGGCCAGAGCTCTTATGTTTGAATGGTGGCCATTAGTGAGCATGTCCATCATCCCCATCCCCAGGCAGAAAACACGCCCAGAGATTACTGCAAACCATTTCAAGGCCAGCTCTTGAGTGCCCTAGAAAGTCACTCTGAGGTGCTCAGGCTTCTTGATTGGCCTTCAGTGCAAAAGATTAAACAAACTTTCATTAGAGAAGTAGTACAAAGATGGGTTTGGCTAGCTCACCAGCCAGTTACTCTCTCCTGCTTCTTCTCTGCATTCCTTGGCTAAAACAGTATTTGCTTACTAGATGCTGATCCGAGCGGAATGGTAGATAAGGAGGTGGACAAGGAACCTCTGCCAAGCGGCATGACCCATGTTCTCCGGGGAAACAAACAGTTGGAAAGGACACTGGGAATCACACTTTTCATGTTCGGACCTGTAGCTCCACAGGGTACACAGATGCACAGATCTACATGGGAATCTGCCGGCAGCATTGCAAAAACGGCTTTTGACCCAGTTTGTTCCCACCTGTTTCTGTAATGGGTCCAAGTCAACTCCATTTCTTCCTGCTAAGAGAGGCCTAAAAGCACCGACTTAATCCCACACAATTAACTTCCTTGGTGCTTCAGCTTTCCGAGACCTGTTAAGAGCTGTACTTTCATCCAATTTTACATTTTTTTCCCAGCTGTACTTTTGGCCTTTCTCTTCCCACATCTAGCTTATTCTCAGACCATGTAACCCAGAAAATTATTCTCCTAGGGAACATTTTAAGAAAGACGATACAGCAATTTAAGTGTAGAACTTCATGTGTTTGGGCTGAACTCCTTGCTCAGGTGTTCATGATGAGAACAAGAGATAGGGAAAACTGAATCGATGGAGAGATGAGAACAGGAAGCTTTGAGGCTCAGGGCCCACAAGGCAGAAGGAAGCCACCACCCCTCAAACACACACACACACATACACACACACACACACACAAAACCACCACCACTTTTCTTTGCAGAAAATGGGATTTTAAAAATAACCCTGCATATACCATAAAATGCCTGTAAATTTGCCTCTCCGGAAAACAGTCTCAGGCAGGTCAGGCCCCGGGTGGTGGAGACAAATGGCCGGCAGCCTTTAGTTTCTGGAGGAGGTAGTTGAGCCCTATCCATGATTACTCAGATTGAGGCCCGACAGAGGGGCGAAGAATCACAGTGTGATTCTTACTGTGATAAGCCAATTTCCAAATCTCACGCCTGCTCACTGAGAATTTGACATTGGTTCCTCTGGCCAAACCCCCTCCCCTCCCCCGAAGGTCCCTTGTGATAGAAAGGGAAAAAAAGAAAAACAATTCCAAAGCTGTCCATGATTCGGTAGCAGTGCACGGAGGGGAAGCCTCGTGCTTTTTAAGCGGGGAGAAGATGCCACTGCTGAGTTTCCTCGCCTTCCCTTGACCTAGATTGTCGCTACTCCCCCACCCCCTCGCTCCCTTCAGCACACACAGACCCACACCCAGCCTCAGCAAAGCCCAGAGCCACATTTGATCTTAGAAAGTTTTCTGTTCTCAGCAATTCTTGAGCTCAAATATGGGGCATGCTTTTACTGCTCCAGAACAAATGATTACAGCCCAAACACTCATGAGCAGTGCTTGCAAGAACTACAAACCCTTCCATGTTCTTCAGAACTGGAGTCCTTCCACATAAAGATACAGCACTGAACGTGTGTGTGTGTGTGTGTGTGTGTGTGTGTGTGTGTGTGTGTGTGTGTATTAAAGAATGTATACTAGCAGGTCAATCCCAGCAGTTGGGAGGCAGAGGCAGGTAGATCTGAGTTTGAGGCCAGCCTGGTCTACAGAGCAACTTCCAGGGCAGCCAGGGCTACACAGAGAAACTCTGTTTAAAAAAAAAAAATACACACACACACACATATGTATAAAATCTTCCTTCAGAAGGGTGCTCACATGCCAGAGCTCTATCTTCACCTAAGCTCTGTAAGGTTCCAGGGGGTCCTTATTATCCCCACTTTTCGCATGGCTAATTGATTTGTCCTGTGTCACACAGGCAGTGCCAGAGCTCAAGCTAGAAACCAGCTTTTCCTGCTCCAAACCTAACGGCACTATCCCTTTTCTTCCATTTCAGCAGTGATATCAGAGGTAATGCCAGGCATATCGGTGCCACACTTTTATCCCCAGCACATGGGAAACAAAAGTAAGCTGAGCTCTCTGAGTTCAAGACCAGCCCGGTCTATAAAGTGAGTTCCAGGGCAGCCAGGAACTCACTGGCTGTCTCAAAAGAGAAAAATAAAATAAATGGAGCCTGGGCCTGGGGATGAGACTCAGCGAGGGGAGGGCTCCCCTTGTAAGGCAGGGAGCCCGGGAGACTGTTTTCAGCATAAGCAGCGTGGTTTGCCTATAATCTCAGCACGAGGAACACGGATTGCAGTGAGATCAAAACTTCAAGACCACCCTCTTAGGAATTTGGTGGCCAGCTTAGGCTATGAAACTCTGTGGGAGGCAGGGAGGGAGGGAGGCAGGGACGGAGAGAAGGAGGATGGGCTCCTCCGGCATTAGCTTTTGCTGTGGGTGAGAGGAATCCAAGGGACCCAGGACTTCCAGTCCTACCCTTTCTGGAACCCCAGTCACCACCGGGCTCTCTCCTGCATCCGACGCGTATGTCCTCAGCATCCACAGCTCACTGAGTTTTTCTTCTCGGTTGAAGAACTGCAGCTGAGTTCACCCGCTACAAGCTGAAGCCCACGAGTCCCTCCTGCTCCTGCTCCTCGCTATTTCAGTAGAGACATCACCACCCACTCTGTCTCCCAAGCTAGAAACCCGAAGTTTTCCCAGAATCCCCTTCACCCTCAGCTACCCCAAGAGGTTACAAAAGCCTGCCTGATTTTACTTCCTCGAATCCTCTGAAATAGGTCTTTGTCTCTTCTTAGCTCAGACCCCCTTATCCCTTATCTTGAGCTACACCCAGCTTCCTATTCTTCTTCCCCTGGTTTTACCCCACCCGAGCTCATTAACTCTCATCCTTACTGTTATTTCTTAGTTCAAAATCTTTTTTTTTTTTTTGGGGGGGGGGGATGCTGGAGAGATGGCTCAGAAGTTAAAAGCACTTGCCTGTTCTTCCAAAGGTCTGGGGTTCAATTCCCAGCAACCGTACAGTGGCTCACAACCATCTAAGATGAGATCTGGTGCCCTCTTCTGCCCTGCAGGCACACATGCAGGCAGAATACTGTATAAATAATAAATAAATCTTAAAAAAAAATCTTTCGGGGGTTCTCTATAAATCTGAAGATTAAAAAAAAATCGGAATCTTCAACCATGGACCAATAGGCCCTGTACTTCTAACCTCCTTACTCTGGGATCTGGAACTCACTACTACTTAGCTCAGGCTTGTCTCCAACTGACAGAGATGTTCCTGCCTCACCTTCCTGAGTGGTGAGAGGATAGGCATGAGACACCCACCATGTATCTTGAATCCTATCCCAAAAAATTCACAATGGGAATATAAAGGATTACAGCTTACAAAGCTGGTCTCACTTAGATCTCTTAGTTTTAGTCTTCTTGTTTAAAAGTAAATTTTTGGTCAGGCATGATGTTATGCTTCTCTAATCCCAGCACATGGAAGGAAGGTAGAAGCAGGAAGACCAAGAGTTCAAAGCCATCCTTGGCAGTGAGTTCCAGGCCAGCTTGGGTGACATGTGAAACTTATCTCAAAACAAAACAAAACAAAACAAAACAAAAAAATAATGAATTAGTTCATTAGCAGCTGATGAGACAGCTGGGTAGGTGACTTTGAACCCTGGGACCCACCAGGTGGAAGGAGAGGACTACCAAAAGTTGTCCTCTGACCTCCACAGACACATGGTGGCATAACCGTGCACACACAGAGGCAAATGCACCCACATAAGTAAAGTGTAAAAAACCGAAAATCACAAGGAAGAATTCAGGGCAGTCTCCGAGTGCTAGGTCTGAGCTACGGTGGGATGACGTGGGTGGGCGGCACAAGCGGAGAAGAAAAATAATGATGTAAAAAAAACAGTCAGACTCTAGAGACTTAAGCCATAGTCTGCCCTCCTTCCCCACTAAGGCCTAGAGCTGATGCCCCACGCAGTTCCTTGGGCTTTTTTTCCTCACGGCCCTGCAACCCCGTCCTGCCGCTTCGTGTCTTCTCAGCAGAGTGCCTGTCCTTTCTTCTCTTCCACCTAGATACTAAGCAACCAGGAGGAGTGGCTGAAGGCGGAGCTTGGAAGCCAAGAAGGATATGTGCCGAAGAATTTTATAGATATCGAGTTTCCTGAGTGAGTATTTCCAGCCTGCCAGGATGGGTCTACCCACACACGCTCCCCTTACTTTTTCGGTCATCACTAAAATTATCCATGCATACCCAAGGAACTGTCAGAAATGCCTGCCTCTCTCTGGAGATCTCCTTCGCCAGCCTCCAGAACCCCGCAGCGGAAGGCCAGGGTGGGAGGATGATTTATTTGCATGGCATCACATTTCCTTCTGAAGTTTACACCACGTACATGAATTGCCTACTTAATTTTATATACATATATAATATGTTCATTATATATATATATACATACAGAGAAAAGAGAGAACTTGTAAGTTAAAACCACCTATAATGAATGTAGTTGCAGGACCGCCAAGATTCCCAAAGGGGGCGCTGTTGGACATCCCAGCTCAAAAGCCATCCCTGAAAAGCTCGTCTTGACTTGCCTTCCTCCCTAAGCAGGGATCCCAGACTAGCTCTGCTTGCTCACCTCAGTCGGGTTGTGTGTGGGAGGAGAGAGGGGATTCTCTCCAGAAAGAGGAAGTGAAACACAGATTGGTCTGTGTTTGTCTTAAGAATTGACCACAAAGGTTAGATAGAAATCTAATCTCGCCTCACAGCCAGGGTCTAGCCCCAAGAGCACAGGCTTTGTAAGAAAATCATACAGGTATTGATGACTCAGATGAGGGGCAGTGACGTCACTCTCCACGACCCAGGAGAGACCACTGAACCAAAAGGCTGACCACTGACCTCCCATGGGCCCTTGGTGCTGCTGTCATCTGCTAGGTGGCCACATCATGCCAGTCCCTCTCCCACCTACCTCTCGGCTCTGCCATTGTCCTCCCAGATGTATGGGGGGACAGTGGAAACCACCAGAAGAGAAGCATCTTGATCCCCTCCCCCACCCCAGGGCCCACTCCCACTGGACCAGCACCTCAGGCAGCCATTCAGATGGAGCTACCAGCAGAGACGTATTCGTCCTCCTGCCCCTCCCCCATCTACTTTCTCCTGGAGCGGTCCTGTCAGCTAACAGGCTTGCTGTAATCACCCATGTCCTCAGCCAAAGAAACAAACAAAAAAACAAAACCACGAAACTGTTGGTCCCAACTCTTTTTTTCCTTTCCTTTCTTGTACCCCTATTACCAACTCCAGCCTCCCAACTCCTGGGGAACCCCCAGGACTTCTGTTAGCAAGGTCCTCGCCAGCTACAGATTGCTGCTGTTCTCTCTCAGACACCATCTCAGCACGATGGGTCCTCTTTCCCCCTGGAACATATTCTGTGTCCTCTTCTTCCAGCTTCCTCCCCACAGTCCTCCAATGCCCTGGCTGCTCCTCCTCCGTCTCCTCTGCCAGGTCCTCCTCACCACCACCACCCCTCCTCCACTAAGCCTTTCTCATTACCAATTTATCCCAGTGGTGGTGTGTGCATGATCGTGGATACATGTGGAGGCCAGAGGAGAGTATCACGTGTCACCTGTAAAAATGTCACCCACATCTTTTGAGACCTGGCCTCTCATTGGTCTATTACTTGCCGGTGAGCCTTGGGGTCCTTGCTGCAATAGTTCCCCCCCCCAGTCCTGGAACTGCACCTCCCAAAGCCAGGCTTTTGTGAGAGCACTGGGGGTCCTGACAGCCCAGGTTGCCACGCTTTCAACGTGAGTACTTTGCTGACTAAGCCATCTCCCCCTGACCATCTTAAATGACTTTCCACCCCAGCATCCTCTCCACTTGGTTTCCATTTTCTCTCCCGGCTCTCACAAATCCCCTGGCATGCCATTTTAGATTATTCTGTTGTTTACAGTGTGTCTCCTGGGCCACCCAGAATGTCAGTTCCCTGAGCGTGAAGTCGTTTGTCTGCTCTGCACACCACTGTTTTCCTAGCACCAAGGAAACGGTCCCACGTGTTCAAAGATGGTCAGTAAAAGCTGTCAGACCCAGCCAAGATGGAATAAAAGCTGTCATCCTAGCTGTTCTAGGAAGCAAAATCAGAAGTTCAAAGCCAGCCTCTAACATATAACAAGTTTAAAAATCAGTCAGGCCTACATGAAACCCTGCCTTCCCCCCCCGCACCCCAAAAATTGCTTTGTAGTGGTGGTGCACACCATTGATTCCAGGCATTTGGGAAGCAACAGCAAGCATATCTCTGTGAGTTCAAGACCAGCCTGGTCTACAGAGTTCCAGGATTATCAGGGTTGTATAGAGATACCCTATTTCAAAGTAATTAATTAACTAATTCAAACGAACAAAAAAAAAAAACCCAAAAATAATAAATAAAAGATGTCAAATAAGGGAAAGAAGAGCTTTGGAATAATAAGGAAGCTTGAAACCCTGGCCTCCTGCATCTGACACAAAACGTGTGGAAAATTTGGGAAGTCTTTAAAAAAAAAAAAAAAAAACCCATACTCCATTTCAGTTAGAGAACATAGCTTTTCTGAATGCCCTGGTCTGCCCATTGCTTCTGCTAATAACTTCCCCTACACAGCACACCGCCCTCCTTCTCCTGCTGCTATTGTGTTTCCTCCATGTGGCAATCGAGGTGTGAGACACCAGAAACCCCAGGCCCCAGGCCCGCTGGGCACCACCAGCCAGCTGCTGTGGCCCAGGTCTGGAGGAAGTATCTGGAGTCAAGGGCCTCAGATTCTATGAAGCACAAAGGAGCCGGAAGCTGAGGCCTGCCATGCATTTGTCCTGAAGGCACAAGGCATTAATTAGCCTTCTGATGGCAGCAATTAGAGCAGCCATCTAGAAGCAATATGACAGGGTCCCACCTGTGCCAGCTGTAATGGAAAAACCCTCATTCCAGAGTGGAGAGGAGTCTATGGTCTCCTGTCCAAAGCTGCAGCTGCTGTTGGCCTTCCCTGGTGTGTCTGACTATTTTGAACATTCCAGCCACTGCCACCCTGTGCGTGTGCTCTGGGAAATGTGGTTTCTCCTCTGTGTCTCTGTTTCCTCAGGAAAGACATTTCCAACCTGGATTTCTGTAGGGGGTGACCTCAAAGTGCAGGGGAAGGCTCATGAAGGAGGTGACCGAAGACGTGGCTCTTAGGGTTGCTCACTGGACACTTGGGCAGTGTCTGCCGGACACAACAGTCAAAAATCCTTGAGGCTCCCACGGTAGCCCCAAACGCCTGAACCCCTGAGCTGGAACTGTCCTGAAGGCATCCAGGGGATCAGGGTCCCGCCGCTGACATCTCAGGAAGGGGATGGATGCCCCGCCTCCATGCCTACATACATTCTACATACTTTTCTAACCCATACATTCTCTTCTCTGCGTTCCTTTCCTAGCCGGGGGCGGGGGGGGGGGGGGGGGGGAGATGGGCTGCATCCTGCTGTGAATCCCTCCAACATGGGCCCATTTTGGTATGGCAGCAAACTTCCATCATTCAAGTTTTCCAAGCCAGAGCGAAACTTCTGGAGGGAAGGGAGGAAAGAGAGCAAGTGCAGAGCAGCGGCCCATCACTTCCCCGAAAGCTGAGATGTGCCATTGCTAGGTTTTAGAATGCGTGCCCCACACCCTGACTCAGGGTCCCTGGCCTCCTCCCTTGAGCCACCTCTCTTCCAGGTCCCTTCTCCCTCCCCACCACCACCACGTGTCTCATAGAACTTTTTGCCCTATCTTGCTCTAGGTGGTTCCATGAAGGCCTCTCTCGACATCAAGCAGAAAACTTACTCATGGGCAAAGAAATTGGGTTCTTCATCATCAGGGCCAGCCAGAGCTCCCCAGGAGACTTTTCCATCTCCGTCAGGTACTGGCTACTCCTAAACCTACCTTGGTCCTCCTCAGCCTGCTGACGCTGGGCAGCTACCCGGCCAGGAGAAGCCTGGTGGTGACTCTCTAACTATGCTACTATTTCTTCCCCAGAACATGTGTCCCCAGCTCTTCCATACATTGATTTCTCTTCAAAACGATGTGTATGTAGTGGGTAGCACAGGCAGGCTGATCTCTGTAAGTTCAGGGCCAGCCTGGTCTACATAGTGAGTTCTGGGACAGCCAGGGCAACCTATTAAGGACCACCTGAAGAGGAGGGAAAAAGTATGCATTTATCCACTTCCCTGCCTAGCCCAGATATTTTCCAAAAGCACGTTGATCTGCTTTCTATGTATGCTCCAAACAGAGCAGGACACCCTGCAGACATCAAGGAGTATCTGTGGAAGGAGGGGAGGAAGAAGGAAGGAACTCACGCTTGACTCTGTCTTCCATCCGGAAGTTTATATCTTAACCTTAGAAAGGCTTGAGAAAATCAGACATCCCAAGTTGCTGCTGTGGGAAGCTGCTGGACACAGGGCCAGGCTGCTTCCCCGAAGCAAGGTCACGGGAAAGCACAGCTGCGAAGAGCAGGGTAGAGCTGAGGGAGGCCCCTGATGAGGGGGATCAGGAAGAACTTTGACACTGTAACTGTGCCGCACCTTACAGGAAGTGACTAAGTCCAGGCAGGGATGTGACACAGACCTAAACGGAGAAACCCCAGATCTGAGTGCAGTGTGTGCGGTCAGCGTGTCAAAGACTGCAAGTCAGACTTGGTGACCACGTAACTGAAGTGTAAGAAATGTAGCTAATAGCTGAGGAAGTGGAGGCCAGCGCCTACAGAAGACACACCTCCTGCCCAGTGAATGGACAGGCAACACCGCCCTGTGAGGCTTTATTGCTTCCCAGTGCAGAAATCTAATCTCTGGTGATAAATTGTGGCATTTATCTAAATTGTTATTTAGAAAGAGAGGATCTTTTGAAACATAAGTAGGAGCTGGTGAGTCATGGCACACTCCTGTAATCCCAGTACTCGGGAGGCAGAGGCAGGAGGATCTCTGTGAGTCTGAGGCCAGCCTTGTCTATAGAGTGCGATCCAGCACAGCCAAGAAACCCTGTCTCAAAAAACAAACAAAACAAAACAAAACAAAATGTAGGTGGGGAGAACTAATAAATGAACTAATAAATAAAAGCCGTCTATAGGCATAGGCAACTCAAGTGTCCTTACCCTTAATCCCTTCATGTCACCAACCTTGACATCTTGCTAAAACATAAAGATCATACATCTTTATTTATTGTATGTACACTATGCGTGTTACATATGTGATGGCTAGAGCATATCAGAAGATAAGTTTAAGGAATTGAGGGTTTCCTTCTACTATGTGGGCTCCAGAGATTAAACTCGGGGCATCAAGCTTGGTGGCGGGCACCTCTACCCACTTTTCTATTGCTGGGAAGAGGCATCGTGACCAAGGCAACTCAGAGAAAAGAAGGCTTTTGGTTGGGGGCTGGCTTGTAGTTTCAGAGGCTCGTTCCATTATCATCACCATGGGAAGCACAGCAGTGAGCAGGCAGACATGGCGCTCAAGTAGTTGAGAGCTACATCCTGATCTGCAGGCAGAGGGAGAGAGAGACTGTGCATGAGCTTTTGAAACCTCAAAGCCCACCCCCGTGGCACACTTCCTCCATCAAGGTCACACCTCCTAATCTATTCAAATAGCGCTCCTCACTGGGGACTAAGCATCGAATATTTGAGCCTATGGGGACCATTCTTATTTAAACCATCACACCGCTGAGCCACGTCTCTAGCCTTACACTCTTAATTCTCCTTAACTAAAATCTTCTTCATATCTTGGACAATCGTAAATACTAGCTTAAGCCAATCTTAATATATCTCAAGCTCTAAACTCAGTGGAGCTTCATTAATGAAAAGTTGGTCTGTTAATAAACCCTATCAATCAAAGCCATTTTATTTTTATATATATTTTTTAAATTTTATATAATTTTTTAAAAATTTTGTGTGTATGAGTAGGTGTTCTGCATGCATGTCTGCATACCATGTGTATAAAGTACCTGTGTATGAAGCCAGAAAAGGGCATTTGATCCCCTGAAACTGGAATTAGTTATAAGCGGTTGTCAGCCACCATGGGGGTGCTGGAAATCCAGCCCCATACACTTAACCACTGGCCCACTCTTTCAGCCTATTCAAACCTATTTTTAAGGACCTTGGTTACTAACAGAGTGCAAGCAAGCACGGTTAGACTGAAGTGCATCTCTTGGTGCCTTGGGTTTGCAGAACCACAACCTTGACTTTTTCAACTAGGAAAAAGGAAGGTCATATTCCTCGGCCGACTTGAATTGTACACAGTGCTTAGGCTATATTTCTGCCAGAGTCTTTCCTGGTATTGGGACAAGGCAACTTTTTGTGAACATTAAAATACTCTCCATACCATCTTTTGAAGACATGTACTATGTATCTCAAAGCAAAATCATTTTTATTTATTCTTATGACTGCTGTCTGGCATGAACACAAAGTGTTGAGAGCCCATCATAGCTGTTGCTTAGCCTCTGCTAAAATGCTAGCCTTTCAGATCCAGAGACTTGAGTCACAGTATTTGCTGTGCCCTTTCTTGGCACCAGCGGGTCATTCTATATCATAAACACAGATGCCAAGCGGCCACATGTGAATGCTGAAAGGGACTAAGTGGTTACTAGACACAAGAAATCCTCCATCCTCCAGGAGCTGAGATACTGAATCTTGAAGAAAAGCCACCATTGGTGTCCAGACTCCTGGGGACACTAGCAGTGATGGCAGTGTGTCAGTGTCCACCCCAAATCAGTTGGGCAAGAAGTGACTGTAGGATCTTTGGCTTCCTTTGGCTATGAGCAGAACCCAGATCAAAGATGACCGCAAAGGCCAGAATCCCTGTTCCCTCCAAACACAGACTCCTAAATCCATCCCTAAGAAGATCCCATTAACCTTTAGAGGACTCTTTTACTCCCTAAAGCCCTTTAGCTCTTGCCCTTTCTGCTGGAACCAGCCATTGACAGCACTGACACTCACATGCCCTCAACATGCAAATGCAAGTCTATTGGGTGGGTTGGGGGCAGGGGTGGGACCCAAAACTTTATAGCCAAGAAAGGATAGAACCTACCCCTTTGTTTTCAAACGGCTAAATTCTGATTTCTGCAAACCCAGCACAGCTTGTTCCTGGCCACCTGATCCAGGCTAGTAGCAAAAGGCATGGATCTAAAAGCAGTCAGCAGGCCTATCCAGCCTAACTGAAATCAGACCAGGGGCTCTCCCTGGGGTTTGACCCCTGTTGACCTTGACTAAGCACCCTCACCTGTAAATCAGAGAAAGCTAAACTATTCCCCCTCTCCCCCCGGTCTTTCCCAGTTAAAAATCTACAACTCTGCATAATGTGTTTCCTCCCAGAGTACAAAATGCTTTTTATATAATCTTATTTATACAAAACATAAACTAAGACCGGATCAAGACATCCTCATTATGTACAGGAAAAAAACAAAACAAAACAAAACCGTGATTAATTCCTTAGGGAAAAGGATAGCTTCCTGCTGGCTGGTTCAGCCCATGGACTTAAATGAGATGGGTCAAGACATTTCAGATAACAGGAAAACAACAGGGTCTTAAAAACCCCTTGCTGCCAGTTCTCAGTGGAGTTCAGAACTCTGATGCTGCTCTGTTTCAAATAAACACTATGAAAGGTCTTCGGCGGCTTGGTCGTTACTGGGAACAGATCAGGAGGGGCGGCTCGGGGGTTAAGAGCAGAGAGCTTTGGCAGAGGATGCCAGTTTAGTCCCCAGCATCCACACCAGGGGTCATTTAGGTGCCTGCGACTCCAGGTCCACGAGCTCCAGCTCCTGGCCTCCACAGGCATCTGCGTCCACACCGCTCACACGGCGTACGCTCATACACAGACACATGATCTAAAATAAAATTATAGAGGTGTTTGGAACATTTTCCTTTTCTTGACCAACCCTTTTTTACACTTACTTATTCACTTATGTATGTATTTGTGTGTGTGTGTGTGTGTGTGTGTGTGTGTGTGTGCGCGCGCGTAGGTCAGAGGACAACTTGGGGAAGTTGGTTTTTTCCTTCTGCCATGTGGGTTCTGAGAATCAAACGGAGGCCGTTAGGCTTAACAATAAATACCTTTTACCTGCTACGTCATCGGTCCCTCCCACAACCTTGTTACTAGAGCTTGGCTCAGGCTGTCCATTACCTACGTCTCCTGCTGCTATAGGATGAACAGCTGTCCAACAGCTTGACATGGCCATGGCCCTCTTGAGTTTTCAGCAGCTATGATTACCCACGTGAGACCTACAGAAGATGGGCCTAATGACGTTCCATCATGGAATGGGAAGAAAATCCCAAGGCCCACCCCTCCATGAGGATGGGAAGGCAATCAATAATGGATGGGGGAAAGAAACATTCTCTTCAGTGCCGTAGCTGTTTGTATGTTGTCCATGGTACCATAAGTGTCCCTAATCAAACTCATTGGATGACCAAGACAGACCTGAGTGGAATCCTTACTTTGTTCGGTCATTGGTGCCCTATCTGGGTGGACCAGATCTTTGTTTATGTCACTCCCTGCCCAAATAAGACAATACTATCCATAGGTGCAAACAGCCACCCCAGCAGGGACACGGTCACCATGAAACATACAGCTTGAGTTTGCTTGGCCCCCAGGCACGAGGATGATGTTCAGCACTTCAAAGTCATGCGGGACAACAAGGGCAACTACTTCCTATGGACTGAGAAGTTCCCGTCCCTGAACAAGCTGGTGGACTACTACAGGACGACTTCCATCTCCAAACAGAAGCAGATCTTCCTTCGGGATAGAACCAGAGAAGATCAGGTAGGCCTCGGGTCCAGATAAACTCCAGGCCAGGGATTTCAGGTAGCCTGAGTTCCTGTGTAAGCCAACAACAACAAAAAAAGGCGTTCTACTCCACGGTCAGACCTCGGGTCTAATCTGAGCTGAACACTCTGTGGCTTTAGGAGGCTCTCAGATCCCGTCTCCTTCTCCCTTAAGACAGCATAAACAGGGTAGGGGAAGGCGGTTGTGAGTGTAATATACTCTAATGTCTCCCAATCTCCTCCATCACTCTTAGTCACACTGCAAATGACTGTAAATGTCAGCTCACACTGGGGGTGCTGTTGTCTAGCTATCTGTGGATCCTACACCTCTGTTTTCAGCCCAGGTCTGGAGCTGCTCAAGGGTCAGGACAATAGACAGTAGCACTAGAAGGAGTAGGGAGCCTGGCGGCCAGGAGCAAAGCACCAGGCAGTTTCCTGTTGGCCTCAAGGAGTCCGGGATGAGCATAGGTTTAATTCCAACTTCATTCCGAACTACCTGTGTCACCTCGTTAAGTTCAGAACACTTTCCGAGGCCTGCAGAGGTGACTCAGGGGTGAGGAGCGCTTGCTGCTCTTTCAGAGGACCTGAGTTTAGTTCCCAGCCTCACGTCAGGCGGCTCAGGACACAACCACCAGCAACTCTAGGGCCAGTGGATCCGATGCCATCTTCAGGTCTCCATGGGCACCTGCACATGTGCGATATACATATACACAGATATATACCACAAACTTACTGAAGCTGGGTATGGTGGTACATAGCTGTCCCCAGCATTTGAGGGGTACATTTGAGGAGGACTGCAAGTTCAAGGCTGGGCTTCAGAGCAAGTACCAGGACAGCAAGGACAAGCAAGACACTGAAAATAAATAAATAAATAAATAAATGAATGAATGAATGAATGAATAAATGAATAAATAAATAGGTAGATAAATGAATAGATAGATAGACAAATAAAAAATAGATAGATAGATAGATAGATAGATAGATAGATAGATAGATAGATAGATAGATAAGTAACATACAGACAAACAAAAGGACACTTTCTGAGTATGGGTTTTGTCATCTTAGCATGGAAAGCACAACAGTAGCTCCTTCAGTGGGCCCTTGTAAAGACCGAGTGTGGCATAGGCCCTGCCCCAAAATCTGGTTTACAGCAGGCAGACACCAAAGCTACCACTTCACACAAGGGAATCCACACACGTGTGCATGTGTGTGTCCACATACAAAAAAATAAAAAAAATGATTTTTCAAAGAAAAGAACACGGTTGTAAGAGATGGGTGGAATAAAAGAGGACGAACTGACCAGCAGAGCTGGGGTCCCAGGGACAAGCAATTTCAAATGGACACGTGTGCTGTGGGCAAGGAAAGCCCTGCCTTCCAAGTCGCCAGCGGTTAAAGGCTGGTATGTTACAGTCATCAGAGAAGAGGGTGTTCCCAACCAGCGCACACAGAAGTTCAGAAAAGAAAATAAAGGTCAACCGGGACCTTGTGGGTTATTTTAACCAGGAAACTCACTAGGATTAACTCACTAGGATGTGGCCCCCCCAGAGATAAGAGAGGCAGTATAAAGTTTTTGTTAAACTGGATTATACAAGTTAATATTTGCACAGTGCCAGCTCTCTGTAGTTGTTTGCAAAATAAAAATAACAATAAAGTATTTCTGATCCATGAGCAGTTACAGTATGAAGCAGAGAGGTCTTGTTCCTTGCTGGCACATGGGGAGCCAGGCCTGGTTTCCATGGCTCTGCTAGAATGTTGCTGTCTTGGGTCCCTGTCACCAGGCTGTCAATGACAGCTCCAGAGGATGCAAAGTCTAGAGTAGAGCTATCAGGAGGCTTGGATGTCCAGCAGTTTGGTAACACGTGATAAATAATCCATAAGATCTCGGTTGGCCTTTGTTTTGTTTTCTTACCTTCTGTGTATCCTGGATGAGAACACTCTGCTCTGATGACTGTAGTGTGCCAGTCTTGAAAACAGCTGAGGAGGAAAGGGTTTACTTTCCCGAAGCACACGTTTCCTTTTCAAGTCACCTATCCCTTCCTGTCTGTAAAACAGAATAGTTAAGCTTGATTACATAGAAAAACACAAACTGACTAGGAACCGATTGGGTGGAGACCATGTGGAAATGGTTAGAAGGTCATCCGGAGGTCTGCATTCCTAAGCTGGGGAAGACTGGGGAACGCAGAGGCCATTTTTGATAACATGGCTCTCTAAACCATTTCCTTTAATCCCTACCACCACCACCACATAGTTACTGCCAGAAGAGAGACAGGAGCAGGAGATCTAGGGGAAGGGTGAATCCGGATCCCCTATTTTCTCTCCCAGGGTCACCGAGGCAACAGCTTGGACAGGAGGCCACAGGGAGGCCCTCACTCAAGCGGAAAAGAAGGAGAAGAGATCCGACCTTTGATGAACCGGAAACTGTCAGACCACCTTCCTCCCGGTCCCCCGCAGTACCACCAGCAGCAGCCGCCACAGCCCCCTCCACAGCAGCGGTACCTGCAGCAGCACCACTTTCACCAGGTATTTGAAGAGAAGGAAGGGACAAGGGCAGAGTGAAGGCCAGTGTAAGTTCCCAGTTCAGTGAAGAGACCCTGCAGAGAAAGATACCTCGTGGTAACTTCCTGTACCCACTGCTCCCACACACACACACACACACACACACACACCACACATCAGCTGGGTAAAATAAAAGCTATTTTGTAGATCACATTTAGTCTACATGCCCAGGCCTAGACCAACCTCCTCAGAGATTCTGGGCCCCATGATGGAAACAGCCCGTGGACTATACGGCAAACACACACACACACACACACACACACACACCCTGAAGACTAATTCTCCTGTCAGCAGAATTTCAATTCCTGCCCCTTAACCTGTAAAAAGAAAACCGGATTAACACCTGCAGCCTTGTTTACTTATCTACCCTTGCCTGTTCCAGAAGGGAGCTGCGGGAGGCTTATGGAGACGGACAGTACCACAGGATAACATTGGTCTACACTCCTCCACAGGGCACCGAGCCCTTTGCGAGCCTATTTGTACTTTCCCAGGGCCACACACAGCTACCAACCCCTGCTACCACGCGGACACACAATCAGTCATTGGCATGGCTCGGAGCATTTTCTCTCGTTTTGGCTTTATATAAGCTGTTCTGTCTTTCTGACGGAAAGTCCCACTTCTCCTTCAAGCGGGAGCCCAGGAATCACCTCTTCCCGAAAGCCTTCCACGATCTACCCAGGCACACCTGGACACTTTTCCATCCGCTCACTTAGCACATTCCTGTATATGGTTCTTCCTCTAAACTAGTAAATGTTTCTGAAATTTTTTTAAAAAATAGGACAAGAACCATACAAGCTATGCCCGGCAGTGTGTGCCTATAATCCCAACATTTAGAAGACTGAAGCATGAGGACTAAAAGCCCAACTCTAGCCTGGGCTACATAGTGAATGCATGGTCAGCCCGAGCTACAAATCAAGACCCTGTCTCAGAATTAAAAGAAAAAAAAAAAATAGGGCTGGAGAGATGGCTTAATGGGTAAACAAGAGGGCCTGGAATCAGATTCCCAGCACCCACATAAGAGCCAGCATAGGGGGCCACATCTTTAACCTCACCTCGGAGACAAGAGGTACGAATAGCAGATGCCAGGAGCTCCTTGGTCAGCCAGTCTAGCTGAATCAGTGAGTTCCAGGTTCAGCAGCAGCCCTTCAGGTAGATAGGGAGTGACAGAGGAAGCCACCACATGCCAACCTCAGGACTCTACACGCACACATATACACACATATTCATGATGATAATGATGGTGATGGTGATGATGATGATTGCAATCCCGAGGCGTGGGTACATGAGACAGACTTCCCAAGTTATTACTATTTCATTGAATATGTAAAGGCCATCACGTCTGCCTTCAGAATCTAAGATCCCTTCACATTCCCTTCCCTCCTGTCCATTTTCCAAGATGAAGGGTGATGATCAGCAAGTATTCTTGGGTGTTATTTCTGTAGACAGCACCCCTCAAGCAAGTCACAGGGTTGGGATGGGCTGTGAGAGACGCCCCAACTGATCATGTCACGGCCCTCTCTTACACATCTCTAGGACCGCCGTGGAGGCAGCCTGGACATAAACGACGGCCACTGTGGCATTGGCAGTGAGATGAACGCCACCCTGATGCACCGGAGACATACAGACCCCGTCCAGCTCCAGGTGGCAGGGGTGAGTGGGCAGAGAGCGTGGGGCCGTGTCTCGGGAGACGGCTCAGCCTGGCTCATCCAGGCTGCTGCCTTCAAACCGCTGAACAGGCGGTTCTCACTCTTCTGGCAGTGGCAGACGGGGGAGCTTTATCCCTAGGATCCAGTGCACTTGGTCTCTGGGCTGGCTCAATGGTAGGGCACTTGCTCGACAGATGTGAGGTCCGAGCTTCCATCCCTGTGCCGCAAAAGCTAAACAAGACCATATCAAGAGCAAAGGTGGTGAGTCCCAGTAACTTAGTGCCCAGGACTGTACCCGCCTGCTCTGCTTCAGACTGCTGCAGAGTCAGCCTTTCGGAAAGTAAAGGGCCCAGGGGGACTCAGGATAGACCTAGAAGTTCATGCTTCCTCGGGGTGACAATTGCTCCAAAGACCAGCCCACCCGAGTTCATCAGTCTGTTGTTTCCCCTGCAGCGAGTGCGCTGGGCCAGGGCGCTGTATGACTTCGAGGCCCTGGAAGAGGATGAGCTGGGATTCCGAAGCGGAGAGGTGGTTGAAGTCCTAGACAGCTCCAACCCGTCTTGGTGGACCGGCCGTCTGCACAACAAATTGGGTCTCTTCCCTGCCAACTACGTGGCCCCCATGATGCGCTGAGTCCTGCTGGGGAGGGGACTGGGGGCTTTTCTGTCTGAAGCCGCCCACAAAACAGGGGCGAGGAGAAAGAGCTGGACCTTGTAACTCCACATACATGCACACAAGTGCACGTGTACCTGAGTGTGCACAAAACATATATATGTATGCCTATGTCTACACACAACGTTTCCCAATAGTAATTTATTGGCAGGCCAGTTGGTTCGATGACTGACAGAAGTGGCGAGTGGGGTGTTTTTCCAGCTCCTCTCTGTGTGAGAGGGCAGCAGGGAGCTGGGAACAGAGCGGGGAAATGGACTTCTCTCAATCCTTGAACTTTCACGGCTTCCTTCCTGGCTTGGGGATTTTCCAGGAGAGCTAGCAGCTAAGCAGAGATCACACCCCAGCGATGGACACACAGGATGGGGCTGGGCTTGGCCAGGCACGTCAGGTAGCTCACCTGGCCCCATCCACCTACAGGGCAGCTTCCCTCCTGTTCTCCGCAGGGCAGGCACTGAGCCCTGAGAATTAAGGTGTAGCTGATGCGGGGCCACGGGCACCAAACAAGTCTGAGCAGCAGGCAGGCAAGGGCGTGGTCAGGTTGTCTCTGCTTCATGTGGGAGAGCCCTGCAAGCCTCAGGCCTAGTCAATGTCTGCCTGGGACTTTTACTTTCCACTGGTGACTGTCCCTTGGGTAGGCCTCTTCCCCTACGCCTGGCAAGAGAACGTGTCTTGGAGACACCACAGAGCCAAGTGCTAGGGAATACACAGGGGATCTCCACAGGCCCTTGTGGCTTACTTGAATGGAACTTCCATTTCCCCAGCTGCAAAGGAAGGTGTAGCCCGGACTCTTCAAAGTGCTTGGAGAAGCCCTGGCTGAGAATGTGGGCTGTGTCAGTAGCCTCGCTTTGTGGTTACAAGAACGTCTCTGTGGAGCTCAGTTGGGTTTTGCTCCTGATTTTTCTGTGGTTGACGGTATCTTTGCCAGTGGACCAGAGGGAAGCCAAGAGCACTGACTGCAGAGCAATAGAGAGATTGACAGACTGACTCTAATCTGGACAGGAGCTTCATGGAAATGTGTTTCCCCTCCCGTCTGAATGCTTGGCCTCCGCTGGCCTCCCTCCACCTACAAAGAGGAACCCCACTGCCACAGTCCCTCTTTGTCACCTTAAACTAGAAGTGTGTGTCCTGGTGCCCACCCTAGAGAATAAAGCACAAGAGAAGCCTGGATGAGGGAGGAGAGACACTGGAGAGAAATCTCTGTGCTTTTGTGGAGCCTGGGAGTAAAGATGTCAGAACAGAAGGCACTTACAAGGGTGTCAGTGTAGTCACGTGTGTGTGTGTGTGTGTGTGTGTGTGTGTGTGTGTGTGTGTTCTCAGATAGGAAAGGAAGCTCTGAGGTGAAAGTGATGGTGAGGGTAAATGGTGAGGGGCCCTGTCTCCCGTGTCCCCTCCAGCTTTAGGGAGGGACTGGAAGGTATTTGTTCCTGAAGGCAATAAAAGACCAATCTGTGACTCACCCGTTACTGCAGTGTGGCATACGCTCCGTCCCTTGTGACTCTGATTCAACAATTCTCTGATTCTTTGGAGACAGAGAGGGAGAGAGGAACTAGGAGGGAAGAGAGAATAGCCTGGAAGTGCAGGGAGGCACAGTGCCAGTGAGCGAGCGATGGGGCAGCCGCAGCCTTGGGAAGGGAAAGCAGGCAAAGAAGAAGATGAGCGGCAGGCGGGCAGGCGAGGAGTCAGGGAGGAGGGGTCAAGTGGGACAACGAGAGGAGGCGTGGGCAGCTGCTGAAGAACAGAGCCCCCCCCACCAATGCAGACGGGGGGGGGGGACAAAGAGTGCACTAGAAAGAGGCAAAGAGCAGAGAAGGCCCCCAAGGAGGAGAAATGAGAATAGAAGGCGAGGCAAAGCGGGCCTCCTCCATCAGCAAGCTTGGTGGTAGGTGATGTGAAACGTTACAGTAAATAAAAGCCAGAAGTGATGTTTGGTTTTACAGTATTTGCAAACCATATGCTTTAGACAGCCCACGAACTTCACTCGGCTGGTTCCGTGGGAGGAGCAGCCCTGGCTGAGACAGACATGACTAGCACGGTTCTGGTCTAGTTACTGTAACTTGAAACGAGAATACCCGTAATAAAAGTTTTGCCAGTCTGTTTCTGGTGTCTGCGTGGCACGGCCCTAGGAGGAGGGGGTATTCCCTACCTCAGGGTGGCAGGGGCGCTCGACCTGGAGAGACAGAACTCCTGAAAACCCCTGGAATGGGCATCCTGATCTAAGCAGGAGCCCTTGTGGGAGAAGGTAGGAGGAATTTTTATTGAGGTGCGTTGCTGTGCTCATTAGCAGGGCTCAACTCAGAAGGGAACAGGAAGAGGCTCCAAACCACTAAGGGAGGACAAGGACTCACAGGGACTGATCGCAGAAGACCAGGACCAAACTGTCCACCTGAGGCTCAATTCTCTCTGCCGCTGCTTCTTGGGAAGTAGGGGCGGGGAGCATGAGGATTCACACCCCCAGCTCTATTTATCTGCTTTCCACCTGCCAGCCTCTGAGAGTCAAGGGTCAAGCGTCTTACCCAATGTTCCTCACCAGCCGCACAGCCAGCAGCCTGCACACTGTCTCCGATTTGGGCCACCACACCCTCCGTGACTTCATGTCACCTGAGCAGGGAACTTCCAGAGAAAAAATCCTGTTGAACCAGTTGGGGTTTCTTCCCCACTCACTGGAAATTACTTCATTTCCAACGTCCAGCAGCTGCCGTGGCCCACTCACCTTTCGATGGCCTCGGGGTGATCAAAGGAAACACTTCTCAAAAATCTCAGGTATCTGCAATGTCTGGGGACCGTGTTAAAAATGCGGGTTCTGACTCGGCCTTATATCTCTAACAAGCTCCCAGGTGCTTTGATCAGCAAGGGCATCAGCCTCACAGACCTAATTGGATTCTTTTTCTGGGGATGTTCAGCCACTGCTCTTTGTTGCTAGCAGATAAGTCACTTTGGCTTTGGGACAGGCACGACTCATTATGTCGTTATGACATCATTCCTGTTTGGCGGCCCGGTGACTTGTTTTTGCATCTTCATCAGAAATCAGATATTTTCCAAGTGACAGACATTTGCCTGAGACTCAGACAGGAGTCCCCTAATAGAAACCACTTCAAACAGGAGCAGAGGCTGTGGACGGTACAGAAGCTCTCTCGGGAAACCCTTAAAGAGAAAATCAATGTCTATCACTTTGGGCTATGGGCAAGACAGGGCCATCGCTGGATCTCAGCTAACAGCCCACACAGGGGACGGACTGGTCTGGTCAAAGAATTGCATGACGCACAATCACCGAGTCTAGTTTCAACCTGGCTATCTGTAAGACAAGAGTGTGAGAAAAAAAAAATCTACCACTGCAATTCTTTAAAACAAATTTATTTTTTGTTATTGTTTTCCAAGTCCTTCCACTTCGTTTCCCAGCCATGGCACCTTTCTGTCTCCCATAGCAACTGCACTGTCCTCTGTACTTTTGCCCTGCATTCCTTCCTGGGCCTGGCACACTCTCCACACAGGTGCCAAGGCAATCTTTGGACAGACAAATCCGATCACATCACTTTTCTCCCCAGACACTTAGCCTTGAACCTAAAATCCTAACTTGGTCCTGTCTGCTCTCCACCTCCTCCTGCCTTCACGCACCTTCTCGACTGTTCTTCTTTTAGCCTCCAGACAGACAAGAACTGTCCCCAGAGTGTTCATAATTGCAAGTCCGTTTCCCTCCCACCCAACCCCAGGATGCACATCCTGTTTTCTGGTTGACTGCTGTTCAGATCTGGGTTTACCCCCATCGGAAATAAAATATCCCTTTAGATTACCTGGTGAGTGCCATGCTTTTCCTGAACAGCATGCACACAGAGGGGATCGCTATCATGAGTGGTGTGACGGTCAGGCTATACGCTTCTTGGAGCGGGGATCATCGTGTTTTGTAGACTCTTGTATGCCCAGCATCTCACACTGTTGGTGGCACATTGGGAGGAGTGTCAATATGTATGTCTAATGAATTGTGATCCTCCAAAGTTAAAACCTTCATCTTGAAGGGGAACTCTCTCAGGCATAGGATGAGGAAAAGGGGGTGAAACAAGATGTTCAAAGGGGAAGTGAAACACCTGTCTTACAAGGAAGCTCATTAAGGCAGGAAGTAAACAACTCAAAACAGCTTCAGGAAGTCCCTGAAATTGGCTAGATTAAGTAGGCCCCTTTATCCTCGATAGTACGTAAGAAGTAAAGACTGCTGAGCTGTTTAGAAGAGGCTCAAACAGAGCAGGCTAGAATAACAACCACCAGCCAAAAGCCTGAAAAAAAAAAAAAAAAAAAGCAGAGACCAGCAGAACCATCTTGGAAGAGACTCAGACCAATCGAGCCACTGGAAAGCACACTCTCTAAGCTGTTGAGCTGCCTGCAGATTGTGCAGGGTTCTAGTTTTCATGAGCTGACGCCCATGCTTGGGTGGGCTTTGGTGATAATAGCTGTCTCTGAGTCATCTGCAGCTGTAAGTTGCTCCTACCCATCCTCCTGCAAGTAACTTCAGTAAACTCACTGCTTTCACACACTGGATGTTGGTGGTATCTGTACTTTGGCCTGTTGCTGGTACCGTCTGGGATGAGTAGACATTTGCTCACGTCTTCCCAGGAATCGTCCGACAACAACGAACAAGTACCAGCTGCCTCATCTTGTCTACTCATTCATCCCAAAGGCCTCAAGCATCCCAGACCTACAGGTGCAAACAAGGGGATTTTCTCTGTGATGTTCATGTGACTGAAGCTTTTGCCACTGCCCTCAAGATTTTCCTCTGGGTACTACAGGGAGTCCTGGTCTGTCTGTTTATGCCCGTTGTGTCATGTATCCTCCACTCGCTACGTTTTGGATTGCCCTGAATCATGTGTGTCTGCTGGTGCAACGGTCTGATCCTTCAGACTGTGGAATCTGCCTGGTGATCCATGTGGCAAGGAGAATGGGGAGGGGGTCGGTTGGAGAATGGCCTGTCCCCAGTTCTGAAAGTGTGCCAGGGTGGACCCAGGGTTCCTCACAGTCTCCCATGAGCTTTGCTTGTACTTCTCGCCTGAGCCCTCTCTCCGTCAGACAGAAGAGGAATACCAACCTTCCCCTTCCTGACTCCTCTCACTCCTTGGTGCACATTTCT